AGGAAACCAACGCTATATAGTTTTGTAACAATATAAAAGGGCGATTATCTTCTCTTGGTCGAGATAAGTCACGTGAGTCAGATGACGGCCGCTTATTGACGTGACTTCATACAGTGACGAAAGTTGACAATCATTCAGTTTGTTTACAGCAGCCGTTGCTCTTTTTTACTTAGGCCAAGGAACCCGAGCTGAGGCTGCCTTTCCAACCAAATTCTACAGTTTTCGAGTCCATGGTAACATTTACTTTTGGGAATATATGTTCTCCAGATATAGAAATGTCCGGCTAGAAGTTCCCACTTTGAGAAAACTCAAAACTTAACATTTCCAATTCGTGGAATATGTCCTTGCTTGGAATATAGTTGATTAATCCGACCCTTTTGAATCTGGTATACTAAAATGGCTTCTCCAGAAACAAAGAAGAATATCTATAATTGATATAAGTTCCTGTCTTTTCGTTCTCCTTAAACTCTGCTTGTTATGTTGATATATGTGATATAATTTCTCTTCTGCGTGGGACCCCTGTATAATTGTATATATAATTTTGTGTACGACGTAGCATTAAAAAAAAAACATTGAGAACAAAGTATGTTCGTCATACCTTTTCCTTTCAGCGATTCCTTTCCGTCCGTGAAATACGGTGTGATTATATCATGGATGTAATAATGCCCATAATGGGGGAAATTAATAGGGGAATAAACCTTTCTTTTATGATTCTCTCCTATTATGTTTTAAATAAATATGTCGAGAAGACGCATCTGTAGCATTGTCAGCAAGCCTTATCTTAGTTTATGGCCACTGGAAATAGCTTTCTTTATGATTGCCAATGCAGTTATGCAGGAAAATTCTTACATATTTTTTTTTATATCGTTATTTGAAACACACAGAAGGCAAAAGTGCCGGAGGAAAACAGAGAATAACCAAACAAGGCATTTGTCGAACTCGTGAGATAATAGCAATGGATATATCAGCAATTTCCTTATGAAGAGACATTCGGCATTCATTGACTCAAAGTAGCCAGTTCTATCGTCGGTTGAAATGCATAGAATAATTCTCATAAAACAATATTTCAGAAAAATAGGTTTGGGGACATGCTTTCTAACATTTCACTTGAACTATTGTGTAACGACTGCATTTTCATTTTGTAATTTTTTTCCCTTAAAGTTATGTGTGTCATCCGTTTTATTTCTGCCTGTTTTTGAAAGCCGTCCTAGAATTATGTACATTCTTTTATTTGGCACAGTTCTTTTTATTCTTAAACGCCAGCCAACGAGGTTCGAAAAAGGAACGTCCTATATATGACGACAAACTACATCCGGAATCAAAGCTTTTACCCGGTGTGGTAGCACATGTTAGGGTCCCAGTTATGGGCAAAAAGTTAACCTCCAAACTGGGGTCAAAAGACTATAAAAGTATAGCAATACATTTTTATAGTAAAAATACCAGCAATATATTTTTATAGTAAAGATATTACCGGTAATATATTTTTTTTTAAAAATTAAAAAAACATTTTAAAAAATACCAGCAATACATTTTTTAAAAAAAAATTACTAATGCCCCCAAGAATATTAAATTTGGTCATTAAATGACTTATATGCTGATAAAAAAGACAAGCGTATATATGTATATGTATATGCATAAAATCTGAGTAGCATCTACCATGTATTAAGTTATGAAAGCAGAATAACCTATCCTATTTTTATTACTTCAAAACCCAACGGAAAATTAAATTCCGGAATTAAATGACCTATAAAGTGTTGATATACCGTTAAACAATTTAATCAATCAATCGAAGAAGGATGTTCATCGCTATGACCTACAGGATTGATTGACAGGAAGCCAGCTTTAATCATAGATCTGGGAAAACGATTGTATAGAGCTGGCGCTTTAGATATATATCCGAACGATAAGAAAATACCGATTTAACGAGGCTGTCAAAACATGCCACGAGTTTTTACAGCATTTTTTGTATCAACTTTCAATGTTGAGTGAAATTATACCTAGCGCAGCCAATTCCACGTTCAATTAACTGGTTTTCTATGCTAAATTTGTGGTTGCCCTTTGCTTGGTCAACGTTAGCTCTGTTGAGAACAGCGTGTTCTGTGTTTTGCGTTCACGATGGAGTGAGACGGAGCAACGGTGAATAGATTTGTGCTACCCAAACATGATTGCCCTACAAGGGACCCAACCGAATGCAAGCATTATGTTTTGGAGACTGCTTTGTTTCAGGTGTTTCCGCTTTAGAGACTACACATGTCTTTACTGTTTAGATTTAAGATCATATCGATTTTCGTGCTTGGGTATAGCCTCAAACAAGCGGTGGTTTAACATCTGTGTCTTTCTGACCTTAGGCATTTTGCCTAAGGTGAGGAAAACACAGCTAGAGACAAGCCTTCTGAGCATTCTCATTGTCAGCAGAAACACCTCTGTCGAGTTGGCTTTTTGAATATATCTGTACAATATAAATATAATATAAATAATAAATATAATATAATATAATATAAATAATAAATATAAGTAATAAATATAAATACAATTATAATACATAATAACACATAATATAATACAATATAACTCTAGTCCTGTCAGTTTTTAAAAAAAGACAGGATTAGAATGAAAGAAAAATATATATATATATATATATATATATATATATATATATATATATATATATATATATATATATATATATATATTCATGAATTATTCATACAAAAACAAATACAAAGGTTAATGATTTAATTGGCGAGAAATCCATCGTCGCGAACAATTCAAATAATATACAAAAACCCCGAATCTGTTTATGAATGAATGTCGCAACGCTAACTTTGAATTTAAATTTTACAATTGTGCGTTCTTATAAAAATATGGTGATAAACGAATTCTTTTTTACTGGTAAATTTTCTGTCAAAGTGGCATGAACTTTATTGTTCAATAATTACAGTAATGTCGCACTTATTATCCAAAAATAATAACTCATTTCTAATAGCATTTTTCGGATTACAACAGTACATATATTTTCGTTGTCCTCTTATTACTGAGAGAAAAAACAAGAACAAAATCTATTCCATACCCGAGGATGTCTGTATGAACACACGATAGCTTGTAAAAATAATAAGAATTCATGCAACAGGAATTTATAGAAACAAGGATCTTTTCATTCATAAACAGATTCGGGGTTTTTGTATATTATTTGAATTGTTCGCAATGATGGATTTCTCGCCAATTAAACCATTAACCTTTGTATTTGTTTTTTGTATGAATAATTCATGAATTTGGAAATTGATTGCACCTTTATTGAAATATATATATATATATATATATATATATATATATATATATATATATATATATATATATATTATCATGCGAATCGCACCTTTGAATACATATTTTAAGAGAATTCGTTATTTCATATTTAAAAAGGTACATGAATTTATTATTATATCTATGGTAGAGCATTTATTCCTGACAATTAAAAATTCATTACTTGGATTTCAAAGTACAACATATCGTAAGCACCTTAACCTGATCGAAATGTGGGACGGTAGCCATTAATGGGCTATCGCTAGGAACCTGTATTTAATATCCGATTTTAGAAAATTCTTACCATTTTTAGAAACTCGATTTTTATAACCTTATTATTAATACCGATTTTGTATTGTAATTTCTATCTTTTATTTTTATTATAATTTTTATATATATTATATTATATTTTTTACATTATTTATATATATTTTATATTATTTATATGTATTATTTATATGAAGAAATATAGTTCTAAGGTGTATTAAATTTATGGGATAAAGTGCTCAATATCAGAGATAGAGCTTATGTAAATACAAATATAAAAGTGAACATTGAAGTCAACAGCCAGAGGTGACATTTATTTATTTATTTATTGCCATTAATACTGCAATGAAATATTGTGTCAAGTGATTTTACTGGATTGGATAACGACAGCTTACATTTTTATCAATTCACGCCTAATAAGTTAAAAATGCGACTAAGATGCAAAGGGCTTCTGGAAGTCAAAGAAAATGTAGAGGACTTTAGAACGAACCGGAAACCCGATCGTAAACAGGAAACAAGGGATAAATCCCTATTCCTCTTGAAAGACTGTAAACTGGATGATCGGTGAACCTATCAACTACTATTCGGGAATAGAAAAAAATAATTCGTAAATAAATTTTCAGAGTTCAGTCGGAAACATTAAAAGTATAGAGTACAGGTAGAATTTTGAAGGAACCGGAAACGCAGTACTAAAAAGGAAACAAAGGATACACATCTAATTCAGCTCAAAAGACAGAGACGGAGTGTGAACCAGGCGATACTACATTTGAATCCTTTTTATTGTAATATTTTTCCATGCTTATTTTAATTTTTTTTCTCATTTTTATTGTAATTTCTATCATTAATACCAGACTCGGAATGGAATATTGTGCAGTGCCAATTTCTTGGGTAACGACGGCTTGCTTCATTTAAATATCATCATACGAAATATTGATATCATAGGCTGGCTTGAGGTAAGATTTGATCATCTTTGTGCCACGAAGCAGTCGCTCGACCTGGGATAACGTAGAAGAAAAGCCGAGGAACCTAACCTTGAACTTTTGAACCCTGATAACCCATCAAATCTCTCCGTTTTTCGAGCTGTCCGCTTGATTGCATCCATAGCTTCGGCACTGATTCGATTTGACCGGCAGAGGGCGCCAGGTTTTCTCCACTTGATGATAGCGAGCAGCGTCAGCATAAAGAAAGTGTTGCAATAAAGCGAGCCGGTAAGGGACTGTAATAATCCTTAACAGGCGACGAGAGCATCCGAAGTTCTAATTTAGCGGCTGGTGGCGACAGAGCAATTGTTTGAAAAATCTAGGATAGAGGGGGAGAGAGAGATGAAAGAAGAAGAGAGATAGAAAGATCGACCAAAAGAAAAAAGAAAGGTATGGCAAGAAGAAACGAAGTGGAAACATTGATGGAACATCTGCTCTCATCTCATTAAGATCAGAAAGATTGCCCAGAGGCAAAGTTTCATTCTACGACTTCACCATCAGTTTCTTTTTCTTCTTCATCTATTAATTTATCAGCTGATGTCTTCTTTTCCTTCCATGTCGTGTCATTTGCGACGTAATATTTCATGTTGTTCTTTGTGTTGTTCGCCAAAATTTTGGTGTTTTCGTCGTTTTATTTTTGTTCTTCTTTTACAGATTTCTTCCTTTTTTTGCTCATTTCTTTTCTTCTTTTATTTATTTATTCTTCTTCCCCTCCTGCTTTTACTCATTTCTTCTTCTTCTTTTACTCATTTCAACTTTTTTTATTCATTTCTTTTCATCACCTTCTTCTTTTACTCATTTCCTCTTCTTCCTTTTCTACTTTTACTCATTTCTTTTCGTTTTCTTCTTTTACTCATTTCTTCCTTTTTTTACTCATTTCTGTTTCATTTCTTCCTTTTTTTACTCATTTCTTTTCATCTCCTTCTTCTTTTTTGCTCATTTCCTCTTCCTTTTTTTCATTTCTTTTCATCTCCATCTTCTCTTTTACTTTTCTTTTTTTTTACTCATTTCTTTTACTCTCATTTCTTTTCATCTCCTTCTTTTTACGTTTCCTCTTCCTTTTTTTACTCATTTCTTTTTCATCTCTTCCATTTACTTTTCCTTTTTTTACTTTTCTTTTCATCTCCATCTTTACTTTTACTCATTTTACTCATTCTCTTTTTTTTTACTCATTTCTTTTCATCTCCTTTTTTATCTCCTTCCTATTTTTTACTCATTTCTTTTCATCTCCTTCTTCTTTTCCTTCTTTTTTTTACTCATTTCTTTTCATTTTTTTTTTTTTTTACCATTTCTTCTTTTTTTTTTTACTCATTTTTTTCATTTCCTTCTTTTTTACTCATTTTCCTCTTTTTTTTTTTTACATTTCTTTTCATCTCCTTCTTTTTTTTTACTCATTTCTTTTCATCTCCTTCTTTTACTCATTTCCTCTTCTTTTTTTTTTTCTTTTCATTTCTTTTTTTTTCATCTCCTTTTTTTTTTACTTCTTTTTTCATCTCCTTTTTTTACTCATTTCCTTCTTTTTTTTTACTCATTTCTTTTCATCTCCTTTTTTTTACTCATTTCCTTTCCTTTTTTTACTCATTTCTTTTCATCTCCTTTTTTTACTCATTTCCTTTTTTTTTTTTTTACTCATTTTTCTCCTTCTTCTTTTACTCATTTTTTTTTTTTTTTTTTATCATTTTTTTCATCTCCTTCTTTTTTACTTTTCTCTTTTTTTTTTACTCATTTCATTTCCTTCTTTTTTACTCATTTCCTCTTTCTTTTTTTACTCATTTCTTTTCATCTCCTTCTTTTTTTACTCATTTCCTCTTCCTTTTTTTTTTTTACTCATTTCTTTTCATCTCCTTCTTTTACTCATTTCTTCCTTTTCCTTTTTTTCATCTCCTTTTCTATTCATCTTTTTTTTTTACTCATTTCTTTTCATCTCCTTTTTTACTCATTTCCTTTTTTTTTTTACTCATTTCTTTTCATCTTTTCACTCATCCTTCTTTTTTTTACTCATTTCTTTTCATCTCCTTCCATTTCCTTTTCCTTTTTTTACTCATTTCTTTTCATTTTCTTCATTACTCCTTCTTCCTTTTTTTTTACTCATCTCCTCTTCCTTTTTTTTTTACTCATTTCTTTTCATCTCCTTCTTTTTTTACATTTCTTTTTTTTTTTCTCATCCTCTCTTCTTTTATTTTCTTCCTTTTTTTACTCATTTTTTTTTTTTCTTTTCTTTTTTCTTTTTTTTTTACTCATTTCTTTTCTTTTTACTCCTTTTTTTTTTTTTTTCTTTCTTCCTTTTTTTTTTCTTTTCATTTTTTCATTTATTCTTTTCCTTTTTACTTATTTCATTTCATGTCCTCTTTATTCATTTTTTTTTTTATTCATTTTTTCTTCTTTTTTACTCATTTCCTTTCTCCTTTTTACTTATTCTTCTTCTTCTTCTATTTTTACTCATTTCTTTTCATCTCCTTCTTTTTTTCTTTTCTTCTTTTTTTTACTCATTTCTTTTCATCTGCTTCTTTTCTTTTCATTTCTTTTTCATCTCTTCTTTTTTACTATTTTTTTTTTTTTTACTCATTTCTTTCATCTTTTTTTACTTTTCTTTTTTTTTTTACTCATTTCTTTTCATCTCCTTCTTTTTTTTCCTCATTTCTTTTTTTTTTTACTCATTTCTTTTTTCTTCTTTTACTCATTTCCTCTTCCTTTTTTTACTCATTTCTTTTCATCTGCTTCTTCTTTTACTCATTTCCTCTTCCTTTTTTTTACTCATTTCTTTTCATCTCCTTCTTTTACTCATTTCCTCTTCCTTTTTTACTCATTTCTTTTCATCTTTTTACTCATTTCCTCTTTTTTTTACTCATTTCTTTTCATCTCCTTCTTCTTTTACTCATTTCCTCTTCCTTTTTTTACTCATTTCTTTCATTTCTTTTCATTTACTCCTTCTTTTTTTTTTTTCTTTTTTTCATCTCCTCATTTCCTCCTTTTTTTACTTTTTTTTCATCTCCTTTTCTTTTTACTTTTCTTTTTCCTTTTTTACTCATTTCTTTTCATCTCCTTCTTTTTTTACTCATTTCCTCTTCCTTTTTTTTTTTTTACTCATTTCTTTTCATCTTTCTTTTACTCATTTCTCTTTTCTCTCCTTTTTTTACTCATTTCCTTTTCCTTTTTTACTCATTTCTTTTCATCTCCTCTTCTTTTACTCATTTCCTTCTTCTTTTTTTTTTTTTCATCTCCTTCTTTTACATTTCCTTTTTTTTTACATTTCTTTTTTTTTTTATCTTTCTTTTTCTTCTTTTTTACTCATTTCCTTTTTTTTTACTTCCATCTTTTTTTTTTACTCATTTCCTCATTTTTTTTTTTTACATCTTTTCATCTCTTCTTTTACTCATTTCCTCTTCCTTTTTTTTTTTTACTCATTTCTTTTCATCTCCTTCTTCTTTTACTCATTTCCTCTCATTTTTTTCATCTTTTTTTACTCATTTCCTCTTTTTTTTTTTACTCATTTCTTTTCATCTCCTTCTTCTTTTACTCATTTCCTCTTCCTTTTTTTTACTCATTTCCTTTTCATCTTTTTTTACTCATTTCTTTTCATCTTTTCATCTCTTCTTCTTTTACTCATTTCCTCTTTTTTTTTTACCTTTTTTTCATCTCATTTCTTTTCATCTTTTTCATCTCCTTCTTTTTTTCCTTCTTTTTTTTTTACTCATTTTTTCATTTTCTTTACTTTTCTTTTTTTTTTACTCATTTCTTTTCATCTGCTTCTTCTTTTACTCATTTCCTCTTCCTTTTTTTACTCATTTCTTTTCATCTGCTTCTTCTTTTACTCATTTTCTCTTCCTTTTTTTACTCATTTCTTTCATCATTCCTTTCTTTTTTTTACTCATTTCTTTTCTTTTACCCTTTTTTACCTTTTTTATTTTTTACTCATTTCTTTTCATCTTTTTCTTCTTTTATTCATTTCTTCTTCCTTTTTTACTCATTTCTTTTCATGTCCTTCTTTTATTCATTTCTTCTTCTTTTATTCATTTTTTCTTCTTTTTTATTTCTTTTTTATCTCCTTCTTCTTTTTTACTCATTTCCTTTTTCCTTTTTTTTTTACTCATTTCTTTTTCATCATTCTTTTACTTCTCTCCTTTTTTTACTCATTTCCTTTCTCTCCTTTTTTTTACTCATTTCCTTTTCTTTTTTTTATCATTTCTTTTCTCTTCTTTTTTTACTCATTTCCTTTCCTTTTTTTTACTCATTTCTTTTCATCTCCTTCTTTTTTTTTTTACTCATTTCTTTTCATCTCCTTTTTTTACTCATTTCCTTTTCCTTTTTTTACTCATTTTTTCATCTGCTTCTTCCTTTCCTTTCCTTTTTTTTTTACTCATTTCTTTTCATCTCCTTCTTTTTACTCATTTCCTCTTCCTTTTTTTTACTCATTTCTTTTCATCTCCTTCTTCTTTTACTCATTTCCTCTTCTTTTTTTTACTCATTTCTTTTCATCTCTTCTTCTTTTTTTTTACTCATTTCTTTTTTTACTTTTTTTTTCATCTCCTTCTTATATTTTTTCTTTTTTTTACTCATTTCTTTTCATTTTTTTCATTTCTTTTTTTTTTTTCATTTTTCATCTTTTTCTTTTTACTTCTTTTATTCATTTCATTTTTTTTCTTCTTCCTTTTTACTCATTTCTTTCCTTTTTTTTTATTCATTTCATCTCCTTCTTCTTTTTCCTTCATTTCTTTTCTTCTTTTTTTACTCATTTCTTTCTCCTTTTTTCATTTCTTTTCATCTCCTTCTTTTTTACTCATTTCTTCTATTTTTTTTTCATCTGCTTCTTCTTTTTACTCATTTCCTCTTCTTTTTAGTCATTTCTTTTCATCGTTTTCCTTTTTTTAACTTTTTCTTTTCATCTTTTCTTTACATTTCATTTTTTTTACTCTTTCTTTTCATCTGCTTCTTTTTTACTTCTTTTTTTTTTACTCATTTCTTTCATTATTTTCTTTTTTTACTCATTTTTCTTTTTTTTTTTACTAATTTCTTTTTTATTCTTCTTCTTCTTTTACTCATTTCTTTTCTTTTTTTTTATTCATTTCTTTTCTTTTTTACTCATTTCTTTTCATGTCCTTCTTTTTCATTTTTTCTTTTCATTTCTTTTCCCTCTTATTCTTCGCCTTCTTCTTTTTTAATCATTTCTTTCTTTTTTTTTCATTCATTTTTCTTCGTTTTCTTTTTACTTTCTTTTCCTTTTTCTCCTTTTGTTTTACTCATTCATTCTTTTCTTTTTACTTTTTATTCTCATCTTCTTTTACTTCTTCTTCTTCGCCATTATTTTTATTATTTATTTTTTCTTTTCATTTCTTCTCTATTCTTCGTTTTTCCATTTCTTTTATTTTACTCATTTTCGTTTTTTTTTCCTTCTGTTTTTTCTCATTTTTTTTCTTTATTCGTTTTATTTTTTATTATTATTATTATTCTTCTTTTTCCACTAAAATTCAATTTTTTTCGTGCTTTTCTATTTTTTTTTTTATTCTTTTACTTTTTCTATTTTTCTTCGAAAATTCATCTTGTTTTTTTTTAATTCTATTTATTTTTCTTCGACATCTTGTTTTCTTCTTCCACCTACCCCCACTTAAATATTGTTTTAAATCTGCAAAATTTGATTATTTTTAATTTGATTTTAATTGTTCCATTTCTTTGTTATATTTTTATTTTTTTTGTCTTTTCAGTACTGATTTTTCTTTTTTAATTACAAATTTTATTTCGTTTTATTTCTTCTTCGCTTTTTATTTTGCCATTTCCTTATCTTTTATGTTGAAAATTTGGATTATATTTCTTCCTTTCTTCTATACCCTTCTTCTGTGATTGTTTCATTTTAAATAGAATCTCCTCCTCTTCCTTCTTAGCCTTCTTCTCATATATTTCATTTGCTTTCCTTCATCCTTATCTCCTCCCTCTTTTCTTTCGTTTGATCTTCTTCTTCTCTCTTTCATCTACTCTTCAGCCTAACATCCTTTCTTTAATTTCTTTTGTTTTTTGTTTTTCTTCTTCTTCTTCTTCTTCTTTTTCTTCTTCTTCTTCTTCTTCTTCTTCTTCTTCTTCTTCTTCTTCTTCTCTCTTTCTTTGTTTTATCCTTCTCTTCACTAATATCTCAATTTTGTTTTCTTCTTTCTTTTCATACAGTTACATTATTTTCTCATTTTACATTCATTCTTGCATACTGTTACTCACACATGCGCAAATCTGATTGCATATTAAGGTAACAAACGTCTGAGGTGACGTAACTCTTTTTATCATGAAAAGAAAAACCGAGATCGAAATCTAACTACAGCTACCTGCGTCCACTAAGCCCTAATCCTCTGATGAACAGGATGGGTCTGAAACCCGACGCTCTCACCCATCGGCGGATGCCTTCCATCACTGCCATTCCCCGATAGTTAACGGTAAAGAGATTGATTACAGGTTACTTGGACAGATCATTAGTCCATTACGTCATTAGCTCCAGAGCGGAAAGAAAATCAAAGAGCTGCTAAACGCTTTATCAACCTTGACAGGACTTGTCAGTTTTGTTAGGGTTGAAGAACAATGTGTTTCTTGTCACTTTCCTTAATAAACATGAACAAGCATCATCTTTATCGTTTCTGTTCCCTCTCATCTATTGATTTAAATAATAATCATGATGAACATATTCAGTCGGAAACTAGGCATCAGCAAGGGGGAAACGAAATAACAAATGACAGGCTATTACCACCATAAACGCCATATTGAACATTCTACTCTTCATCGCCAAATAATTATTAAAATGGCATGAATCATCTTTTGTATGCCATAGACTTACAGTAGGTAGTCGATCTGACCTTCTATAGCTTCTGACTTTTGTTATTCTGCATAAGAAACGAACTGAGTTCAAATGCTGGCTTCGTCCGCTGCCTTCACGTTCGCACTGATGTCGTTGGGAAAGGCATGAATCTGTGTTTTCCCTAGCTTCTTTCTATGGGACAAATAGCAAGCTCGACCAACGTGGAATTTGCTATTTCGTTAGCAATGAAATTATTTATTTGCTATTTAGTTGCTGAATTCCAAAACGTGAAGATTGCCCTTTAAAAAAAAAATTAACCCAAAGCAAGGCAATAAAGCCACTAAAGACTACTGATTGCGAAAGGATATGAGAAAAAATGGCCTTATTAAGGAATGAAAAGAACAAAAGAACAGGAATTAAGAAGACATTTAAGTTTTGCTGATCAAAGTTGATTGGGAAGAATGAAGCTGGAAGAGAGTTCCACAAGTGAGAAGTGCGATAGAAGAAACTGTTAACATAGGACGTAAGGTTACATTGTGGGGGACTTCACCACATTAATTTATAACTGATAAGGAAACTGGACTCACGCAAGAAGAATAACCATAAGACATTGTTGCACATAAAATATATGTATATTAACAAGATATACAATATCAAACAACGATGTGAAAGAAAACATGCATTTAAGTATGAAAGGTTGAATTAATCAAGAGTTGTCCTCTCTTTGACTGCAATTTAAGAGTTCAGTGAGAGATAATTATTTGGTTTAAAGTTCACTGGATAAATGTTCATGAGTGTTTCATAATATGATTGTTCTTGTGATATTACTGATAAAAGTATTGTTGTGTCAAAAGAAGTTTTTAGTGATGGTGTACAAACTATCATCAGCATGTGTGTGTGAGTGAGAAGGTTGGCGCGTGGTTAGAACTGGAGTTCCAACTGTCGTAGATTTCTTTAGCAGTTGAGGTCTCACTAATTGAGTTGAGAAAAATCTTGGCTTAAATAAGCGACTATAGGACCCGATTCGTTGCGCGGGAAAAATTATTCTTCACGGGCAAACGATCTGATTGGTTGTCATCAATCAATCAGCGAGCGAGAGAGCTTTGGGGAGACTTAAGGATGCTTCTGTGAGCGACTTCTTCTAAAAGTGCACAAATGTGGCTACTTAAAATTAAAGCGATTCCATATTTGTCGCATTACTGCGAATTGTAAATTGCCTGTAGAAAATGTATCAGTGATTTATTCGCCATTGATAGTTTGGCATTGTACATGTGATTGTGTGTTTGTATGTACATTTTCGTGCTTAAGTAGTTTCGCACAACATCACACCATTTCAACTGGAAATGATGGGACGTTGCCACCAATCTAGTACTGAACTTAAATTCATAAATAATAAATTAAATTAATAATAAATGTGAAATAAATGACGTACACTGAACAGTTATCAGCTTTGACGTTATGAAGAAAATTCCGACATAAGAAAAATGGTGTGAAGCCCTCTTGCCATTGATTAATAAAATTTAAAACCCATTACTACGCTTAATAAATTCGAATGCAGTACACGAAACTGTTTCGCCGTGTGTATAGTGAACAAAATCTTAACTTCTTAATAATTTGAACTCAAAAAAATAAAAATAATAGTTTAAAGTATGTTCCGTATTTTAAAACTAAATGAGTTTAAGGTTTCTCGGTTTGCATTTAATAAAATCTCATGAATCTTTTTATATTTACGAAACCTTTAATAGGAGGGGGCTATTAAAACGGCACAAACAGAATTCATTTTGCCCAGAATCTTGGATTCTTTTGACAAGTGTTAAAGAATTAGTTTTAAAGGACTCTTTTGATGATTATGTTTTTGGCAAATAAATTTAACATTTGTCACATTTGAGCAGTTCCTTATTAGATCTGCCAGAATGCAGTGTTACTTCCCGAGAATGTAAATACAATAGTAAATGAAGCTGTTATTTTATTGTTCATTAACAAAGAAACAAAGAAACAAGAAAAGAGAGACCTTTTTTTTTAAATTATTTAATTTCTGTGATAATTTATTTAAGTAATTGTGTTATCTGGCTATATATCTGAGATGAAGTATTATTGTTATGGTCCATGTTAGGACCAAGGAAGAACAACACGAACACAAGAGTAGAAATAACGAAGGTATATTACACGAAATAATAATACAAGATGTGGAAGGTGTTAGTATGACTGTCAGTCTGGTTTGGAGTGAACTACTATCGGCTAGACTCGATTTGTCCCTCTCTCTTGAGAGGCGTAGTATACATAGTGTTAGGAAGATTTTATTCTGCAGTTATAAATAAGGACCCATGACAATTATGCATACAATTTACATTATTTGAACTATTTTCCTCATCTTTGTTGCCATATTTATCACAATGTTTCAGCCGTTGTACGCTCCGGTCTTCTTCAGGGGGTTGGAATAGTCTACCCCAGCGAGCGAAATAAAGGGTTCAGTTCGACATTCCAACCATCTGAAGAAGGCCGGAGCGTAAAACGGCCGAAACTTTGTGATAAATATGGAAACAAAGATGAGGACAATAGTCCATATAATATAAATAGTGTAATTGTGTTATACTTCCTACTTGTCGAAACTGTATGACTACGTGACACAATTTAAATTTCTAAATTGGATAAAACATTTATTTATTCATTCAGTTTCTTTGTCTTATCGACCGTTTCTAGGTTATTTAATGTCAGAAAATGTTTTTAGATTATAAGAATTCTTTTGGTTTGGCTTGGTTGATTTTACGGCATATCCACCTCAATAGGTTATTTAATGCTGACAAAACTTTTATTGCTGGTAATAATGTATTGCTGGTAATAATTTCTTTAAAAGATTATTTCTGGTATTAAAACTATTTTTACACTTTCATAGTGTTTTGATCCCAGTTTGGAGGTTAACCATTTAACCATAGCTTGAACCCTAACAGGTGCTACCAACCCGGGTCAGGGTGGACCTGGGAACACCAGCAATTAAGAAGTGGTTCCACGCTCCTCAAAACCTCCTGATCAGAGGCCTTGCTGCTGGATGTAGTTTATCGTCTTACCCAGGACGCGGATGTAGTTTATCATCATACCCAGGACGGAAGAATTCTTTTGAACCAAATAATGTTTAGTGGTACAACATAAGTAGGAGTGGGGAGAAGGGGTGAAGTCATACATTCCCCAATGGTATTTGCGCGTAAGGGAATATATACGAACCCAACCGGAATTGGAACTCGGCTCTCCGATTAACAATTCCGAGCCATTATCAATTACTGCACTAGCCCATCCAAGCTTACAGCACCTGCTACACTAGGGCAGGCCAATTTTGGAACCGTGATATAGCACTTGATTTGAAAGTTGGATTTTGACATGATAAATCGTAATAAGATATTTTTTCCACGTTGTTAAGCTTTTTGAGAAAACGAGTTTAAAGATTAAGTTTAGGTTAAAAAAAGAGCGTTGGAATTTTATTCCGGTGATCAGTGAAAGATTTGTCAAAACAATCCGTGCTGTTATGGAAAACAAATGTCCAGTGTATCACTTAATAATATATTAATCAAATGTCCAGTGTATCACTTAATAATATATTCCATTTGCAACATTTATCTCGTTCTCAAATAAATAAAAAAAAAATAAATCAGAATTAGAGAAAATATAAAATATTCACTTCATAAAGGCAAACTGGAGATTAAATACAATACAATATAATGTATGTAGGTTGTAGTCAGGGGTTAAATACGATTCCTTGATTCTCAAATTGAAATTAGTTTTTGTTATTTTTCAAAAAAAAGAAACAGCATTTGATCAGTCTGTAACTTCAGATGAATGTTCTTTTTTAATTTTTTTTCCTGCTGGCTCGCGACTTCGGAAACAAAAATTATTTTTTTCTGTAAATTTTTTAATAATGAAAATAGCCTAATTAAAAGAAATTAAAACACAAACATACCATACGACCTCATGAAAAACAGAAATATCTTCATTTTAATCAGCAGTAGTAAATATATTTCTTTCATGCATCTTGTCCCGGAACTTTTTTCGATGGGTATTTCTAAGTTATTCACCGTTATAAACGTTTGCCTTTACTTTTATTACATCCGATATCGATATCTCGACTACTTTTAGTTTGTCACTTTAAAATTAATAAGTTCTTTTGTATTTTTATGTAACAGAATAAATTATTTGTAAAAGAAAGGAAAACATTTTGATTAATCTACATCATTTTGTATTTTTGACGTAACTGGTATATATTCAAAATGTTTTGTTTACTTTTATATCATAACCACAATTCTGACCATGGGAGCCGGGTTCTAATCTCTCTATGGTCGATTTGTCAGAAAAGAGACTGCCTGATGCTATCGGATTTTTTTGGGGTGGGTAGGGGGTGGAAATTTCCTGAAAACTATACCACAGGTTGATCAACACGTTTGTATGAAATGGGTAAAGAG